AAAAAGAATTGAATGTGCGCTGCCCTGGAAATTGCTCGTCATACCCTTCAAGGTAACTTTAAAAGGAGATTAATTATAGTGGTATCTGTTAAGCTTCAAAAGTTCAAGTGGAATGGAATTAAAATGCTTGTCAAAGAAAATCCATTTACACACCTGTCACTAGTGAGAAGTCTGATTTGAATTGACTTTATGAAAGTTGTAAAACTAATCATTAGAACATTGGCATTCCCCACCCTAGTCTGTCAAATGAGGGTATCTTGTAATATCCATTGAATGTCCCTGTCTTAAGTACTCCATAACCATTTCTCCATGGGTTCTGTGGATTCCCTGATTTGATGGAATTTAATGTTGGTAAGAACTTTTAGAACTCACTTAGACATGAGGTGGACAGAGTCCAGTCTAGAGTGAGTGGGAGGGTACAGAATGCCCAAGAGCTTTCGGTAGTTCAGCATGCAGTACAGCAGAGGCCAGCAAAACTACAGCTTGCTAGCCAAGTTTTATTGGCTCCAAATCACAACCATTCACTGACATATTTTCTATGACCACAGACTGGAGGAGTTATGGCAGAGACCCTGTGCCAGAAAACCCTAGGGTTTACCATCTGAACCTTAAAGTCACCAACTTGGGCTGTAATACTGACTGAAAATCCTGGATGAGCTTCAGAATAAAGTGTTTTGAAAGTTCATGCTGCTGCATTACATTCCAACCCTTGTCAGGGTAGGATTCAGAAGTCAGCATGTGTGGACAAGAACATTTTCATGTAGTCAGATGAGGAATCCCTGTACAACCTCACTTTGTCTTGAAAGTACTTAGCCTTAGAAACACATTTCATGCTGGCAAAACCTTTTTATATGGGCTATGAGGCTAGGGATTTCTGCACAGACTGTCTCCTAAACTCTCACTAGTACTAGAATCTAGTAGAGTGTTTGTTGGAATTCAAATTTCTGGATACCATCTTCACAGGTTATGACCAAAAGTGCTGAAGTGAGACAGAAGGGAGTTTCCACTGTGTTTGATGGTCCTGATACTGTGGCTCTGTGCAACTCATTCTGCTTAGCACTGACATAGACATAAAGGACTTGCATCCCTAATATACAGGAGTCAGTTTGTGTGGCTCCTGACATGGGTATGGGCATGGAAATATCCTTATGAATCACCTGGAAGGATGACTGCAGACCACACTATAATGACCACTGTTCATCTGCTGACAGTCACTGTTCCTCTCTTCTCTATCACCACTGTGAGACTTGACATCAAATAATCTTTACTCTGGGTTTCCATTCCTTAAGGAGTTTGCTATTATAGTGTTTTAAAATTCCATGTAAGGTATTTTCAGTCTTGTAAAGTAACTAGGTTTTGAATGTGGAAGGGTGGATACTGGATACGACAGTTTCAGATGTCGAAAAAAATGAATTGCATAACATAAAATAGTGGGAGCGACAAGCAGAAGTAAAATAAGTGTTTGCACTGGTCATAAATGTGAAAAGGTAAAATGGAGAAAGGCAACAAAAGCAGGCAAAGACGTGTTTTGGTGCCACAAAAGGATTTTATTTTGAACTAGGAAGCAACAGAAATCAAGAATAGATTCTGGACTGAGGGGCTTGGCAGTTGACTCAAGTACCAGGGATTGAAATTATGGTGCTCCAAGGAAACATAGAAAAAAAAAACCCTCCTTTCCACAACAAGATCATCCAATCACAACACTTATTTCAATAATGTGCATTCACACCATCTTGGATTGCTTTAGAAATCAGGTTTTCTGTATTTTGTAAATAGTTTCAAGGATGACGGTGCCACTCCTGTTGACTTCTGTGCCTTTTTGTTTGTTTGTCCCTGAACAAAAGCATTCAAGAGTAGCTAAACTAGGACACAGATGACATCTTGAGCCATATATCATTTTCTGGTGAGAAACTTCACTGTGCACTGTAGGATGTTTAATATTATTTCTGACTTGCACTCACAAGATGCCAGGAGCAACATGTCTCCAACTTGTCACTACCAAAATTGACTCCAGATAAGGCCAAATGTCTTCTTGGGTAGCAAAATCAAGAACTTGATGAGAAGCACTATTTTCAAAACACTTCTCTTGCTAGTGTCATTGTTTCTGCATGCCATTTATGTTTTACCAAGAGAGACCAGATGTCAGCTTCCCAGCACCAGATGCACTGAACAGGTAGTCACATATCTCTCTGCAGCCATTTGTATGCACCCCTGGAGCTGAGATTCAAATCCATCTTGAGTAGAGTGCATTGGCTCATTCCTCAGGAAGTTCAAGGTCCATATATCAGTACCATAATGAAAGTCTGTCCATGTTCAGGTTGCTTTTCTCCCCACAGAAACAACTATCTATACAGTCACTTTCTGAAGTCACTTTCTTTTAAAGCTGGAGAGAAAAATTTTTACCCTACGTCCACTCTCATCTTATCCACTATTTAGACTCATACTTGAGTATGAATCTAAAGCAAGTTTTAACAAGCAACATGTTTCTCCTTATCCATTAGGAAGAGCAGTACCATGTTTTGGAGTCCTGTTCCAAGGACTGGCTACATATTATGCAAGGCTCAGTGCAAAAGTGAAAATGATGGCTCCATGTTCAAAAATTACTAAGTTTCATTAGAATGAAAAAAGAACACGATACTAAGCTTAAGCCCTTTCTGTGCTCGGGGCACTTGGCAACTGAGTCATTCACATATACATGGTGCCAAGCCTTTACAGCCTTCATTGGCATCTTGTCAATTTTGTTGTACTAATTTAATTGGCACTGCCATTTCTTTGCCCCTCTACATAAATGCTTCCTGTGAGTGGCCCCAGTCCATTTAAAGAAAATGCAGAGTTATACTGCAGCAAATGTTTACATCATGTATTTTTAGACTTAAAAAAATCCACATGGAAATCTTTTCTACATCATTACAGCAATTAAACACTGTGGTCTTTCACCATATACACATTTTCCTGTAAATATGACAACCTGGAAATAGTAACTGCTACATCCACAATGTTTTTTAAGTTAGCCAAGAGTAAGACTTGCACAACAAAATTATAACATAATCTGTTTTGTCCTTACAAAAATAGCCAAAACACACCCTCAAAAGCTTGCGGTGAAAATCTGAGTAGTAACATCTTTATACCAAAAAACATATTCATGGAAATATTGTCCTGCTCATAAATGCTTCATGTTAACATCATAAGGCAAACTGTAGCGTTTATTGTTACCTGGAGACCATGAGTTTCTAAAAACTCAGAATTTGAGTTTTAGATCCTTTTGTTTAGAACCTGTAAGTGTACAAAGTGCATTCAAATATCTATTATCCAGTTACCCAAAATGTACATAAAAATGACTGAGACAACCTTTTCGGTTTATTCAGGGAAGGCAAATACACATTTTTATACTGTCAAAAAGTCCTAATAAATTGTTAGAGAAAAATGAAAGTTTTTCCACTGAGGTGTCCATTTTTAAGATGTGAAATTGTCTTAAGTTGCTATCAAAATATTCATCTGGGTATAAATAATATAGTCAATATATAAAATCTATCCATTAAGAAAAAGGACACCATCTGTCAGGGAAGGGACAGAAAGACACAGGAAACTGGCTTTGTCTTTCATTAAGTACAGATTGACATGCACATCAATTGTGACCATGTGATGCTGAAATGGAGAGTGTATTGAGTTATTTCTGGGAAATAGTTGATTTGATTAAAATTAAATCACCAAAACCAATGTCTCAATCCATCAGTCTATTCAGTCAATGGCTGGCTGATGTGGTGGCCCAGATAAATATTTTAGCAGTTGAAACCAATTATACAGGTCAATGTCCTTGATCAAGGTGAACCCATGCCAATGTCCCATGCCAAGATCACCTGAGAAAAATCTTAATTCAGAGACCACTACTCTATAACAGGTCAGTATGAAAAGAATCCTATCTGCAATTTTATTAATAGGATCTATTGGCAGATTCCTCTATAGGAACAGTAAATTAAAATTTTTTTTACAACTCTATGATAAACTATACTAGGATATACAGGGATGTCTACATCTTCAAAATGTGCTTACTAAAAGACTGTAACTTTAAAGGCATTTACACTAGTGACTAGTACTTTGTGTAATATGTTTTATCATTACTCATAAATACTGTTTTTTGGTGACTTATATTTTGACAGTGTTCAAGAGAATGTGCTGATGTCCCAGAAAACAAAATCAGTTGAAAGTGGGACTGCTATTTGTAACAGGCCATGTTAATATCTGTAGCTCCAAAAAGAAAAGAAAATTTGCCTTGTGGAAGGGAAAAATAGGGCACCTATTAAATGTAGTGAAACAATTTCATAGGCCCAAAAATGACTGGTAAGATATAAAGTTAAACAGTTTTATACTCTAAAACAGAAGTCTACTTTTGATAAAACCCAACACAGCATGAAGTCTTAAATCATCTGTAGAAGTCAAGTGACAACATTTAATTGTAATCTCATTCAAGATATTAGCTCACAAGCTTCAGCCCTGGAGAAGTTGGTGAACATATAACCAATGTTTTAAGAATCACCAAATCATCCCATCAATCAGTCATGGGTAAGCTTGAGGCCCAAATGTAATTCTTTCCTTCTCCCTTGTTCTTCAGTCTATTTGATCCAATACAAGTTTCTGACATCACAGTTAAAATATCTCAAATTAAATCAGAGTAAGGAAGCTTGTGTACTTCCTTACTAGGTACAAAATGACTTTTCCTTTAGTCATATATTTGGTTATTCTAAAGTGATAGTACCTAGCATGGCCTCAGTGTGAAATAGAAAGGAAGAAAGTGAAAAACACACAAATCTACAAAAGGATATTTGCAAGCTCATAGACTGATGAAAAGAAACTGGTAAAGGGTTGGTAAACTTATGGGCCTCTTAATGGACAAAACCAAGTGATTCCTAACAGCTGTAATCCATATTATGTTTCTTTTATAAATAATCTATAGACTTTCCTCTAAATACAAAAAAAATTAAAGAAATTATTAAAGCCTGTACTTAATACAAAACACAGTAAAAGGAAGGAAATCTCCCATGTGGAGCACTATCTGAGCTCGTTTCTGGACAAGTTGGGGGATATTTCATCACACTCTTGAAGCCTTAATTTCTCAATCCCCTAAACAGTGGCCTCAACCTTTGTAATTCCTTGGGCTGCTCTGGGGCTGGGGTACTCAAGGTAGCTGTTCTGTACAGTCCAAATGGTCTGGGATGGGAAGACCAGTTATAATCGTCAAACACTTGTTCCACACAGTAAAGGTGGGGCACACAGGCTGCGCAAGCGCCACATCGAAGGTGTAGAGGTGGATGGAGTTCAAAGCATCATAAAAAGCGATTGAGCCATTATCATAGTCCAGCAGGATGCCTATGCGTCGGAGATGGGGGGCTGGCTCAATGGGGATTTCCTTGCTGTTATGTCTCACCACCCAGTTATTGTTGCAGCGGCAGAGGGCCCAGGAAGCAGAATTCTTCCCAATCCATTCATGTTTTGGAGCTGACTTGTAAGCAAGGCCAATGGCGTACCTGCAGAGACAAAAACAAAAAACAAAAAAACAAAAAAACAGCAGTGATAAAAGCAATAAACCATATTGTATCTAAGTACAATTTGCTCTGTGGTCTATGGGGGTTTTTAATGTGATATTATGCTATTCATGATCACATTCCCTTTAAGTGAGTATTTAAATCCATATATGTATCTTTGTCCTTCCCAAACACGTAGAGGTGGAAGGTGACCAGTGTGTTGGCCTACCTTCCTATTTTCAGCTTAAATGTTACCAGAGAATCTTGACTTCCCATTTTACTGCTCTGTTTCTCTTTTGTGAATGATTGTGCAGTAAATTTTTCTGGACCAGTACTGACCAGCCCATATCCTTCTGTAATAATTGAAGTATTTTGTTCTGTTCAGTAGGGTTGTCAAAAAGCCCATATGACTATTGGGCCTTGGAACTGTGTCTGGTGAGCCTGTGAAATTAACTTTAAATTTACAGACAATCCATAATTTAGAATGCCGGGACTTAAGATTTTATAAAGAAACCTTATTAAAGCAATGTGCTATCAGCAAAATCATCCTCTGAGTTTTGATCATCTCCTGAGCTTGTGATACACAATGCTGTACTTTGTATGACATTGGGCATCATAAGAAGAAACACTTAATACCATACATTACAATGTACTGAAGACAATAAAAGATATAAGGTAAATGATTTTATTACAAGTAGAGCTTTCTGATAAAGGAGTTATCCTGACTTAAGGCACATGTAAGTAATCTGAGACTAATCATGACAGAACAGGCTGAGCTACAATGTTCAGGAGGATAGATGTCAGAAATACACTTATATTTCAATTACAACATTTTTAGTTATCCTTAGGATTGCCAGTGTATAGACTCAGCATAAGTATGGAAGCACTTCTATCTGCCTATATCTATCTATCTATCTATCTATCTATCTATCTATCCATCCATCTATCGATCTACCCATCTATCGATCTACCCACGTATCTATCATCTGTTTATTTTAAATACAGTTTCATATTGTGTCCCAGACAGGCCTCAAACTCTTACAACCCTTCTCTTTTCAGCTTTCTGAGTGGTAAGACTTAAGCCACCAGCCCCACTTGTAATGAATTTGAATTTTAATTAGATTTATTTAAATAGCTTTGTATATGGAACAGGGCTGCCATACTGGAAATCATAACTCTATATAGGTTTATTCTTTGATCAGACTTTAAATTTTACAATTGCTACCATATCTTCCATTTGTCCATGGCTTTGAATGTGCTTTGTTAAACGTAAGCAGGGAGAATGATTTCCACATGAGGTTAAGTCCTTTGTCATCATTCAAAATTATGAAAGCACATTCTATGGTACAAGAGCAGTTATAGTCTCCACATCCCCAAGTTAAAGAGTAAAAGATAATTGCATTTTAAATCTCAATCACAGTGGCTGGTAACTATTATTTTAACATTACTACTAAATTTTACACTAACAGTAAGTATGAAAATCAAAATTGAGCTGGGCGGTGGTGGCGCACGCCTTTAATCCCAGCACTTGGGAGGCAGAGGCAGGCTGATTTCTGAGTTCGAGTCCAGCCTGGTCTACAGAGTGAGTTCCAGGACAGCCAGGACTACACAGAGAAACCCTGTCTCTAAAAACCAAAAATAAAATAAAATAAAATAAAATAAAATAAAATAAAATAAAATAAGAATACGGAAATCGAAATTGAAAGTTAAGATGACTGAAAGGGTTACAAGATTAATTGACAATCTATACTGTCTCCCTCTCACCAGAAATTGTGCAGTTCACCACTCTTTCTGATTATACTTTCTACTGCACTTTAAAGGTTTTTTTTTACTTTGTTTGGTTGTGTGTTTTCTTTATTTCTGAATTTTTGATTGGTTATGTTATTTATTTACATTTCAAATGTTATCCCCCTTCCCAGTTTCCTTCCACAAGCCCCCATCCCCTCCTCCCTCTCCCTGCCTCTATGTGAGTGCTCCCTCATCTACTCATCACCCAATTCTGCATCGGTGGCCTAATGTTCCTGGGTCATTAAGCTTCCAAAGGCCCAAGGGACTCCCTTCTCAATAATGCCAGACAAGGCTAGAGAAATGGTTTATTAAAAGTACATGCTTTTTTTCAGAGGACTTCATTCTGGTCCCCAGCACCTATATTAGGTGGCTCACAACCACATAGAACTCTAGCTCTAGGGGATCCAATACCCTCTTCTGGCTACCACAGACTGACAGACAGACAGACAAATGTATAGAGGGATGAACAGTGATAGAGACAGATGAATATACAGACAGAGACAGACAGATAGGCAGGCAGATGGACAGACAGGTCTACAGACAGACAGACATATGGACCGATAGATGGGCAGACAGACAGGTAAACATACATAGACTGATAGAGACAGACAGA